TCCTAAGGGCCTAACGTACACTTTCGTGTTCCGTTCGGGGTTAAAATTACTTTTTGGAAATCTCTAAGTTCTAATTCGTTTTAAAGTGCTTTCGCTGTTATTAAAACAAATGCCTAGTGTTTACTATCTGACCTTACCGCAGCTTTCGCTTGTTGGTTCGTATCTTAATTAATTTCCCACTTTCGTGGCAAAACTACTTTAAAACAAGTTCTCGCTTTCGCGACGAAGTTTATTTCGTAAATCAATTTTTAAACACTTAGACCATAAGTTATTTTTGTGAAAAGAAAGTTTTCAAACAAGAGTTATCAAATCCCATCCGAATTATTACTACATATCGATTACCTAAGTTTAGCTAGACATGGAATTTGGAAAAACAAAACATAAATAATAATAATAAATAATAAATTGCATTACGATAAAATAAGAGTCGATCAAAATGAAAACCTGTAAATAATGCCAATTGGCCTTTGGGCAGATCCTCCACAGATGTTGGCAGGATTCTGTCTTTAGTTCCAATTCGATCGTACAGTGCAGTAACAAATACAAAAGGGCGGAAATGGGAATGAGTAGAATGGAAAGGGAAATAAAGGAAAAGGGATACAATTGAAACTGGAGAAATGGATACAAATAATAAAAAGGCTGGAAATCAAATTTGCTCTTGAAAATAAATTTGGGCAGCACTTCGTGGTATGAATGCAGCTCCCTTTTTGAAGTCCCCTGCTTCCCTTTTTATAGAGGTGGGATTCCAACGGTTACCTCTGAGGATGATGGACCTTGAGGCAGATAATTTAGGGAGTAGTGGACCATTAAATGGGAATTGGAACTGCTCTTTTGACGTGTAATCTGAGTGGGGCGTTTTTGCCTGCATGACGGTCGTCACAAGGTGTGACGGTCGTCACCCGTGTGACGGTCGTCATGCATCTGTGACGGTCGTCACATCAGCAAAAACTGTCTGCTGCGCTTTTCATTGTGTTTTCACTCCTTTTTCGTCCATATTTCATCTGGGATTGCTTCTTTTCTTCATGTTGCCTTGTTTAGACGTGATCGTTGAATACCTGCAAAAACATCAGACAAATACATGGAAATAACCCGAAATCGGATCGAAAACGGTTAGCTTTTAGTCGAATTATGCATGAAAATATCTATATGATTTCGTGTTATCAAACACAATCCTCGCTCTCAACTGAATTGAACTTGGATTAATTAACAGTGCCTAAACTCCGGCGCGACGGTGTTGGTTAGAGACTACGGCGAGGCAATCGGAGAGAAGAAAGTATATTGAACGTATTTCTGAACATGTGAGTTTATGGATGTTACTTGAGTTTGTTGAACTCATGTTTGTTGCTGTTAAAAACTCATCACCATGCTAAATGTTTGGTTGTTAAATGGAAGACTGCCAGTATGTGCATGTTATTGCTTTTTTGTAAAAATGCTGATATATGCCTTTGAAACATAGGGTGAGTTGAGGATTAACATTGTTATGTCGGACTCATGTTTGTTACTGTCAAAACTATTTCTCTTACTAACCTGATAGTGAAAGGACAACTACCCCATCATGTAGGTTTTGACTAGTTTGAGTGATTTGGACATTATAATTTACAATGTGCTGTCATTTTGTTTTGAGGTGTGAGTTTGTTCAACTCATGACAGTTGCTTTTAGATTGTCTCTAGGATAATGTAGGTAGTTTGTTGCTTTTGTAGAGGTGATAATATATACTGTTGAAACAGATGGTGAGAGTTGAGGATTGACATTGTTATGTCAAGCTTATGTTTGTTGCTGTCAAATCTATTTTCATAACATAAAATTGTTTGGATTTAGCATTTGTCATTTTAAAATGGATAATAAACTAGTTGTAGGAGGATTTGAACTTGGCAATATTTTGAACTCTTGATCTTCATGTTAGAACTGTGTTGGTTTAACAAATTGGTAATTAATTTTGAAAACAATGTTTGAATTAATATGAGTGTTAACATTGGTAAACACCAAGTTTGTTACTGCTTCTATTCAGATTTTACTCATGAGTTTGTTAACTTTCAAAACATTTTTGCTTGACTGGTGCTTTCATCTTGTTTTTACAACTTGCTGTTAAAGCTATGATAGTTGTAATTCATCAATGAATGTTGATTGAAACACCAAGAATTATGTCAACATTTGCTTTAAGGTTTGTTAACTTCTAGTACCATTGAGCTCTATCTTTAAAACCATATGTGTTCAGTAATTGGCATTGTAATGACCAACTCTCATCGTCATGGATTTTTGTGTATTGAATATTGTCATCAAGTGTTCCATACTTGGAGGGCACATTGTGCATCATGGTTTGCTAATCCATGATGACAGGTTTTAGGTAGTCTAGGTAGGGACTTAGTAGATTTCTTTGTATGTTCTTTGCTGGTGTGGTCTGTTGAAAGGGTGTTGTCATGTGTGTTTAGTTGAATTCATGACAAGACTAAGTTTCAAACATTGATGACAGAGTGAGAAATGTTTGGCTCTTTACTTTGCTTATTGTCCAAGTTTGTTGGGAGGTTGGTCAACCTAGATTCCCATCAGAACTTTGTTTGGTTTCATATTTGGCGGTTGAAACCTTGATGCATGATGTTTAGGACACAATGTAGGATCAACAATGTACTAGTATTTATTTTGAGTACAGTTAAGTTCAAAAATTGGAACAACACTAAACATATTGGTTCCTCTAAATTTAGACAAGATATGTTTTAATTTTTAGTGACTCACGTGTTAATTGTTTGCTATATAGAAAATGGATCGTACTTGGATGTATAATAAAGCATATTTCGATAGACACGGATTGAAAGAAGAGTTTGTTCATGGCGTTAAAAAGTTTGTGAAGAAGGCTTTGAATCAACCCATTTGTATGTCTAAGGGAGGGATAAGGTGTCCGTGCATAAATTGCAAGTGTTGTAAGATAAGTACAACAACTAATGTAAGACTTCACTTATATCGAGATGGATTTCAACCAGACTATTGGATTTGGACTCAACATGGAGAAGTGGAGCTCAATATTGATACAAGGGGTGGCTCAAATAGTAGTGAACATGTGCGTCAAGCTGACCAGTTTGAGGCAATGGATCAAATGGTGTATGATGCATTTAGGCCTCATGGAGGTTTCTCTCACGCGAATGATAACATGGAACAAGAGGAATTTTTGGAGGATGAGTTTCCCAACGAAGAAGCTAAACAGTTTTATGACAAGTTGATATCTTTCAACAAGCCTATCTATGAGGGAGCTACCCAATCTATGTTATCAATATCTACTCAACTTCTTGAAATTAGGTCTAACTGGCATGTTCCACAAAAAGGTTTATGTTGCACAAATGCTTAAAAGTGTATGTCCAGTTCAAAAATGTTTGCCTGAGAACTATTACCAAGCATCACAGTTAGTGTCTAAGTTAGGGCTAAAGGTTAAGAAGATTGATTGTTGTAAGAATGGTTGCATGTTATACTACAAGGATGATAGTAAGTTGTCTGAGTGCAAATTTTGTAATGCTCCTAGGTTCATTCCTCGCAAGACTGGCACGGGAAAGTACAAAGATATCCCAGTGAAGAGGATGTTTTATTTCTAATCATTCCTAGATTACAAAGACTATATGCATCAACTGAGTCGGCAACTGAAATGAGATGGCATCAAATGAACAAAAATAGTTCCAGCGTTCTTCGTCATCCGTCTGATGGAAAAGCATTGAAACATTTTGATGATGTATATCCTGACTTTGCTAGGGAACCCAGAAATGTAAGATTGGGTTTGTGTTCAGATGGATTTACTCCTTACATTCAAGCATCTGCTTCTCCATACTCATGTTGGCCAATAATAGTTACTCCATACAATCTTCCCCCTGAAATGTGCATGACCAAACCATACTTGTTTCTTGCTTGTCTCATACCTGGACCTCACAATCCTAAATTGAAGATAAATGTCTACTTGCAACCATTGATTGATGATCTATGTCTATTATGGTCCAATGGAGTTTTGACATATGATATATCCACAAAATAAAACTTCATCATGAAAGCCTGCTTGATATGGACAATTAATGATTTTCCGGCCTACGGTATGTTATCTGGATGGGGAACACAAGGTAAGTTAGCATGCCCTCATTGTATGGAACACACAGATGCTTTTACCTTGAAAAGTGGCCATAAGAATTCCTGGTTTGACTGTCATCGTTGTTTCTTGCCAACTAATCACTCTTTCAGAAGGAGTAAAAGAAGTTTCATAAAAAATAGGGTTGTGAAAGACGACCCACCTCCCGTTTCCACAGGTCAAGATATATGGGCAGTAATAAGTAATTTTCCAAAAGTGACTGAAATTGGATGGGAAGAAAAATGGAAAGAGTTTGAAGGGTATGGAGTTGATCATAATTGGAAAAAGCAAAGTATTTTTTGGGATCTCCCATATTGGAAGGATAACTTGTTAAGACACAACCTCGATGTGATGCACATAGAAAAAAATGTCTTTGATAATATATTTAACACTGTCATGAATGTTAAGGATAAAATAAAGGATAACGAAAAGGCGAGAGAATACTTGGCTAAATTATGCTTTCGTGGGGACTTAGAGCTCCAACCCTTAACTAACGGAAAGAGGGGTAAACCAAAGGCAAGCTACACTCTGACCACACCTGAAGTCAAGTTGGTTTGTAAATGGCTGAAGGAATTGAAAATGCCAGATGGCTATGCTTCAAACCTCTCTAGGTGTGTCAATGTCGAAAAGGGTACGGTGCATGGGATGAAGAGCCATGATTGTCATGTTTTCATGGAGTATTTACTCCCAATTACATTTCGTTCATTGCCGGATTTGGTTTGGAAACCATTAACCGAGCTAAGTCAATTCTTCAAAGACCTTTGTTGTAATACATTAAGGATGGATGCCTTAGTTAAGTTGGATGAGAACATTCCAGTTATCATATGCAAGTTAGAAAGGATATTTCCACCTGGTTTCTTTGACTCAATGGAGCATCTTCTAATCCATCTTTCTAAAGAAGCTATGTTAGGTGGTCCAGTACAGTACCGGTGGATGTATCCATTCGAAAGGTAATGGTTGTGGTTGCTTTTATTTAGTAATTACCTGTTTATCATACCTTAATAGATGCGGTATGATTGAATGTGCAGATTTATAGGAGTCTCAAAGAGGGCAGTGACAAATAAGGCTAGAGTTGAAGGTTCCATATGCACCGATTATATACATCGTGAGACAAATTACTTTTGTTCTTATTATTTCAACTCATTTGGTTTATTGCCAAACACAAATATTTGTAACAATCCTCGTTCAGACCATGATGACATCCTACCTACAATGTCCCTCCTACACAGTGGTGGTCGACCAAGTGGGAAGTTTGGAAACCATTATCTATCAGATAAGGAATGGAAGTCTTCACATGTACATGTCTTGATAAATTGTGATGAGGTCAAACCATATATTGCGTAAGTATGCATCATAACACATCAATCAAGATCTTGATGCATATCATGATAAATATTTTACTCATGAATTGTGTGGTTGATTGCAGCATATTCTTAAAGAGTCATTCTATAAGTATAGAAGATTCATCTGGACAAATACATACAGAGTTTCCCATATGGTTGAAGAAATATGTAAATGAGAAGACAAATGGAGTTACCAACAAAGACATAATTGCCTTATCACACAGTCCTTCATCATTGGCAATCTCTTGGAACATGTACTTTGTAAATGGGTATAAGTTTCATACTGAAGAATGGAGCAAAGGTAAAAAAATTGTCAATTATGGTGTGTGTCGCTATGCGAAAAATGACACAGAGTCGCCATCGGATTTTATTTATCCCAAAGAAGGGAAAGGGAAATAACGATAAAACCTTTAGGGAAAAGAGCATGGTCATCACAACCAAGTCTTAGGGTTCGGGAGTCGGTTATACGAGGGGAAGGTATTAGCACCCCTCGCATCCATCGTACTTGATGGGAACCTTCTAGGTTGTTTTACTTGAGTGGGTGTTTTTAGTTTAAAAGTTTGCTTGTTTTAAAAGGGGAAAGGGGTTGTTTTTTTATTATAGTGCTCGCCAAGGACTGTGGCCCTTGTGCCTACGTATATTCACTTGTAGGAAGTGAAGAATCAGAGCATTCGTAGTTCATGGGACTACGGTGAAAACGGGATGTTTGGTAGACGATACTAATGTCATATTCTAGCAGTTAGGTGTATTGTTGTTTGCTCGTTGGAGACTTAGGCGTTACCTGTTTGCAGTAGAACGGACGTAACATGTCCTTTTTGGGTGATGAGGAATGGATGAGTATAGGTGGGAAAGAAAGAAAAGTGCTCGCTAGGATCATCACAATCCTATACCTACGTATTCTCAACATGTGTGAGAAATCAGAGCAGCCGTAGTTCGGCCACTTGAGAAATGATGTGTGTTGGTTATTTTTATACCTTGAAAAAGGGTTTTCAGATTGATGCCCTAAGGCGAAAAGAAGTTTGATGAGTTGATGTTATTTTTAGGTTTTTTAATATAAATCGTTCTTGATTAGGTTTACACAAAAGACTTTGGATAAAGATGAATGTTTCAAATAACCAAGTCGAGCGCCTTGTATTTAAAACATTCGGAACGAGTGTAGGAGGGTTCCATTCTCATTCCTTCTCCACCATCTTAAAGTCCATGGTGTATAAACTTAATCACATTTTTGTTGGATTTTTTGGATTTTTATAAGAAAAAGTACCACTTGATGTTGGATCAAGGGTTTTATTATTGGTAAAAATATTTGAAGTGACGCGAACAAGGTCGATGGCGATGCACAAGGCACTCGACTTACAAGGTTGAAAATGGCTTGATAAAATCGAGAATTAGGAGGGTGAAAATCCTAAAATGAGTTACAATTTTCATTTAATATAAAGTGTTTCTAAAATAGGAATTTTAGAATTCTTTAAACATTATATGAAAATATACATTAATACAAAATTTTAGCAAAAATAATCACTTAAAAATGAAGAGGTTATGTTGATTTGAAAGTTAAAGAAAAATCAAAGAAAATAGTAATTAAAAAGAAGGAAATGTTCACACCAAGGGTTGAACCCACGTCTGGTGGTTTCCAGGTCAAAACCTTTATCACACTAACCAAAGCATGCGCTCATGACATTTAATGGAAAAGAAAAGTTAAATATTATAAGTACTGAAGAAAATATAAAGTGCCATTTCAAGCAAGTCTTGAATTTTCATCTTCAGTCTCACACCGTCCAACTCTAGGCATGTATGTACCAAATTAACTGAATGTAGGACTGGAGAATGTCATGAAGAAAGGGTGGGTTAAAATCAAACTTTGAGCCTTATATCCTTTGTTTCTATAACCGTGAGCCAGACCATGTTACAACCCTCAAAAGACCTAATTGAGGCGGGGTTTATTCTAAAAGCATGTTACAGCAAGGTTGCGTAAACTGACTCCCTAGCAGAGTCGCCAGCTGTCGCTACGCGAAAAATGACACAGAGTCGCCACCGGATTTTATTTATCCCAAAGGAGGGAAAGGGAAATAGCGATAAAACCTTTAGGGAAAAGAACATGGTCATCGCAACCAAGTCTTAGGGTTCGAGAGTCGGTTATACGAGGGGAAGGTATTAACACCCCTCGCATCCATCGTACTCTGTTAGGGACTTTTCCTAAGCGAGTCAAGCCTAACCTAGGTCGTTCTTGCGTGTTTGGGTTCTTTCTTTTTATTTGCTTGTTTATCGCTTTCCTTATTTATTCAATTGTATCTCATCGTATTTGGTTTCATTCTCTGTGGTATGGATTGGATACTTTGATGGCAAACCTTGAGGGAAAGACTATACACCCGAGTCTAGAGTGTTAAAATTGAGATAGGAGAGGTTGAGTAGTATGGGCCTCCGAGATGCTCATCTCGTGATAGTCGATACGAGAACCTCGCTTAGAGTAGATTCTTTTGAGAATAATGACAATCGTCAAGCTCTTGGCGTGTTTGATCAATGTTTTCTTGGGAATCCATTACTCTAAGGACCTTTTAGAACCCTAAACCATTGGCCAACTAAGATTGATGGTCGCGTAGTATGGGTCCTCGAGAAGCTCTTCTCGTGTGGATCGATACGAAGACCTCGTTCAGAAGAGACTTTCTTGATGGAGTTGTTGCCTGACAATGACTGACATACGTAACAAACAGTCAAGAAGTTCCATGACTCTAAAATCCCTGTCTAGAACCCAGTGTCGACGTGTCTCGTAGTATGGGTCCCCGAGAAGCTCTTCTCGCGTGGTTCGATACGAGGACCTCACCCAAAAGAGGTTCATGTGATGGAGTCGTCATCTGACATGTTCATGTCGTGCATGAGGAACAATCATATGAACCCATGACTTTGGGATCCCTTTTAAACCATAGATCATGCCTTGTGAGAACCTATCTACAAAGCCGTCAGTATCAGCCATATCCATATGTCGGACTTATGAACCCATGTGCTCGATTTCCATTTATGCATCTATTCATACATACATACTTCATAAAAACAAAGCTCTTAGTGTCTTGTTATTATTACATATATAAGCATTTTTCAAAAGCAATCATGATGAATGTGAATCTAGGGACGATGAGGCTAAACAAGAAGACCGACAAAAAAAGTACTTTCACTTTTAAATACAAAGATCCTTCAATTGACAATCTGAAAGCACTAAGCGCCAAGATCACTCCTATTAAGCACAACAAATTTCACTCTTCTTATGGGATAATTTTGGATCTGTTAACAGAAAAGATAGAGTTTGAAGCCTGTCGCAACTGCGAAAAACAACCAGCGAAAAAAACAGAAGAGTCGCTACTTATGTTATTTATCCCAAAGAGAGGGAAAGGAAACGATCGCAAAAACCTAAAGAAAAAGGGAAAGACAAGGTCATCGCAACCATGTCTGGATTCAGGAGTCGGTTACGCAAGGGGAAGGTATTAACACCCCTCACGTCCATCGTACTCAACGAAATCCACGCATTGTTGTCTATCTAAAAGAGTGTGTTGAAACTATCTAGCTAAAGGATTAGAGACAAAAGAAAAAGAAAAGAGAAACTGACTCGGCAGAGCATCGCCGTTCTGTGCCTACGTACTCCCTCGTGCAATGGGAAAGTCAGAGTCAACGTAGTTCGCCTAACTATAGCTAAAGAAAGGGGAAGGTTGCTCGCCGAGACATCGCGTCTCGTGCCTATGTACTTTCGTCTGGTACGAAAGATCAGAGCAAACGTAGTTCGGGCTAAAAGGACCACATGTTGGTTCAACAGTTTTTTAGGCCCGAGTAGGGTTAAGAAATAGTTCTAGCAGTTGGTGTATGCAGCTCGACCATTGGAGACTTAGGCGTTACCGTTTGCAGTAGAACTAAGAGTTAACGACACTCTTGTTTATGAAAAGATTTTCCTTGATTAAGAACCCCAAAGGGTGAAAAGGAGTTTGAAATGTTTTTTGTGTTTTTTAGGAGAAGAAGTGTTTTGAATTAGAGTGTTCATAATGTATGTTGTAACAAAGTCTAAAACCTAGGATCGAATGCGTCGCATATCGTCCTAAGGACGCATACTAAACACTCTAGGCAATTGAGAGGTGGCCCCTCAACTACCATTTCCCAAGTATAAGGCTCATGGCACAACATTCATCATCCTTATTAAGTATGTTAGACTTGTTTGAAGATGAGAAGAGAAGAAGGAACACTAATGGGAAACTAGTCAATCCTAAAAGTTATCATGCAAAGTGGACTTAAAGTTGAGTTTGAAAAGGGAACTACCTAATGTTATAATGCATAGTTAGGCACCTAATGTCTATCATAACCTCAAGAGATTAGAGAACTTATGGGGGACATGGCAAAGAAAAGCAAAAGAAGAAGAAGAAGAAGAATAAGAAATGCATATGCAAATGAGAATGCAAACAAAATGCAACATATAGAATGATAGTGGGAGGAAAATAGTGTGGGGCAGCAGCCTCCACAAGCTCATCTCAACCAAGCATGCATATGGAAATGCAAGAAAAGAGAAGAAGAAGGAGAGAAATGCATCAAAATCAAAGAAACAAATGACAAACACAAAGAAAGGGTCCTCATGGATTCATCACTTTAGGTAAGCTTCAAATTCCTCCTAAGGAGGCACCAAGCTACCTTAAATGACACTCCAAGGTTATTGGATAGAAGCGAGATGAAAAGAAGAAAACTCAAAAGCAATACCAAAGCAAATCAAGAAAAGATGCAAGCAATAACATGAAGGAAGCAAGCAAGTATCATTTAGGAGTTCAAGTTGAAAGCACGCAAAGAAAGGCATCAAACAACAAACAATGAACAATATTTTGACCTAAAAATAAACATACAGCAAGCTCAACATGTCTAAAATGTGAAACAAGAAGAGTTGAGAGCTTATTAGATCCACAAAGGTCATTTCCAATCCAAACTAGGATAAGCCTTTGTGTGAGTTGTCCTAAGAGATGACCTAACTTGTAAGTCACT